TGAGTGATGTTGTGTGCAAGATGTTGTTGTGAGAGATGTTGTGTGAGTGATGTTGTGTGCGAGACGTTGTGTGTGGGATGTTGTCTGAGTGATGTTGTTGTGAGAGATGTTGTGTGTGGGATGTTGTGTGAGAGATGTTGTAGAGAGGAGGAGGAAGGATGAAGGCGGAGGAGCGAGGAGGTGCAGCAAAAAAACAAGAACCCCACACGACAATGTGGGGAACTAAAAAAAAGTCGAAAAGTCCAAAAGGATGTAGAATTTCACAAGTTAGGGCTTATAGAAAGTCTATAATAAGGAAGGTTGAGTTGTAAAAATTAAGAAAATTTTAGATATTTTAGAAGCCCGCGATGAAAACCCAAACGCCGCAAGCTACACAAATCACACCGAGAGGTGAATCCACACATTTGGGTTGTAGACATCCAGACACACACAAACACACGCACCAAAGTCAACATGGTCATGTCTCTCCTGCACTAAGTTCCCAGTCTAGCCAGTGCTTCTCTCAAGACTCTTGGCCTTGCGTCGTTCCAAAACAAGAACAAAAACACTACAACTCACCAGCACGAAACTCCGAACCTATTATAGTTTTAGAAAACCACTATAGCTCCCGAGCGCGAAAGCCAAAGCCATGAAAAATTTGTTTCCAAAAAGGAACTACAACTCACCAGCGAAAACCAAGACATCAAAAAAAATAACTGTTATAGTTCACCAACACGAAAGCACCAGCCATGAAAAAAATATAGTTCCAAAAGACAAGAACTATAGCTAGTAACTAGATGAGAAAACATTCATTACAAAAATCAATCAAAAAATCATTTGAAAGGATACTGTTTGCTTGATGTCCGTCATGGAGGTGTCAATTTTGCATAGCAGAAATGAAACGAAAAGTCTCCAAATCGAAGGATGTTTCCTGTAGTGAAAATTGTCCGAGAACATAGTCATCAGTCATACGTCTTTGCTTTTGGAGTTAACATGTTTTGGAATCATATTTTTTTCATGGTTCGGGCTTTCGTGCCGGGCCGTGTTGGGGAGTTATAGTGTTTCAATTATACCTCTTGTCTTGGCTCCGGCTTTCGTGCTGGCGAGTCATATAGTTGGTATAACTTTTTGGGTGGCTCAAACTTTACCGCTGGGGCATTAGATATAGTCCTTTTGTTTGGAACTGCTACTTGGGACCTATAACTTTTCTTGGTTCGGGCTTTTATATATTTGTTTGGAACTATACCTTGTTTTGGAATCCTGACTTTTTTGGAATAATTTGTTTTTTGCATATTTTTTCAAAGTTCGAGTTCGGATTTTCCTTTTCTGGGGAGTGTAGGTTTTTGTTGATCTACAATTTGGATTCATGGTTCGGACTTTTGTTTTGGGGGTTGTTGTCTATTTTGGAACTTGTTAATGGCTCGGGCTTTTGTGTTGGGGAGTTGCAGGTTTTTATGGAACTATGACTTGCGCTGGTTCAGACATTCATCATTCAGGGCCACAGAGCCCACGGTACGCCCCACGCGCCGGTATCTCGGGCCGCGAACTGAGCCATGGCAAAGCAGCGGGGCTTATCCAGATACTCAACCTGGCCTGCGACATCTGAGATCATAAAACCGAGTGATCTTTGGGTTCTGGTGTGAACTTTACAAGAGGACTTGACGCAAGATGGAGAAGCCAAATGCAGCCCGTGGAGGACAGGCAACTTCTTCGACTTTGGTCACTGCTTTGATCATGTGGACTGCTCTAGAGTATCTGGAGCAAACATCATTTTCGCCCGTCTACGGGAAAGAGATGGAGGCATGGTCGCCGCTACCATATCAAGCATTTTACTTCTATTGGGCACCAAGCTTGCGGAATTCCTCCAAGCGAGGGCGCCTTGACCACAAACTGGGACATCACAGCACTCGCATAAGCCACCTCCGCCCGAGTGTGACGTGCGCCCAACTCCGGCTCCACTTCATCGTCGGTCGGGATGTCGACCTTCGGGATCTTTGAGGCTCCCTCAACCACGCGCTTGGCCATCATGAAGCGGATGTAGCTTTCCTGGCGAACGCGAAAGCCACCCCCATCCTTCACATCCAGGCCGCAAGACTTGGTGACCTTTCCCTCTGAAACCCACTCAGCCTCAGAGCATGTCCACATGGACCGAAAACTTCTCGATGAATGCAGCTTCAGCACCTGAGGTCATCACACTGCCACGTGGCCATGGCTGACCCAAACCTCCTTGAGCTCTTCTCCATTCTCCTGGGCTGTGGGACCTTAAGCAGGCGCCATTCGCCCTGATCGCCCCAGGTCCTTTGTATTGGCAACCCTCATTACAAAGGATTGCTAATGGCAAGGACAAGTACAAACATCGTCCAAGTGGAGTCGGCTCTCGCCTTACGCCGCCCCCGCTTGGCTCGTGCGTACTGCCCAGGTCAGTTTTTGCACATGCGTGTCAGAACCCGCTAGCACACACACGTCCAAGCAAAAAAATACGCCTTCCGACCCTCTGTCCTCTGCGGCCAAGCGCCGCTCCTGCCGGCGACGCCGGCCCAGGAAAGACCCAAAAAATTACTCCACTTTTGCACTCTGCTCGAACGAGCCTTTCTTCTTGTACACTGTAGGACGGCTTCCACTGCCAGACTGGACAATTTGAAGAAAAAACGAAAAGCGCGAAAAGTTAAAGAGTCGACAAATCCGAAACGTCAAACAAAAACCAAAAGAAACACAACTGAAAAGTAAAAAAGTTGAAGAAAAAAAAGCCGAACACTTTTTGAGTTTTTGGAAGGTTTTTCGTACATGTTCGTTTCGGTTGCCGGGGATAGCGGTTTACTAGCTTGAGGCACCTCCCGGAGCACGATGCTGCCACGCTCTGGCACCACAGGTGGCGATTGAGCAAGGCTTTGCACTCAGCACTGTTCTTGGCGACGTCGCAAACATTCCGTGATGTTGCCGAGGCTCGTGTTGAGCAAATTGATGGTTGACCAAATTGATGATCTTCTTCACCTCGGATTCGCTGAAGAACTCTGACACAAAAAGAATAAAAATTCACAAAAATATTCCTCCAAAGGGTGTTCATCAACCTGTTCCCCAAATATCAGCAAAACCAAGTGACGAGGTGCCGCAAAAGTGCCAAGTGTTCATCACCGACTCCCGGCGGCAAAGGTTTCTTCTCGAGCAAGGCACTCATACACTGCCCACGTTGAAGCTCTGGTAGAATCGGCGACCCCAGCGGGTGCGGAGTTGTATCACACGCCGTTTCCGTCATTGTGTGTGTGCAGGCTTCTCTGGGACCGGAGACATGACTTGACTTCAAGCTGTCAAGGAGGCGTATCTTCACACGGGGATGGTGAGTCGGAAGCTCTTGTTGGCACGATCATTGCAGCTGCCTTCCTAATCCTAATCTGACTATCTCATGGTTCAGCTGCTGAAGCCTTGAGACGCTGGATGGAGCGTGAGTAGCGGTGGACGTTCTCCATGTCGAGCTTTGCATCTGTCTTCACCACCTCCCTCCGCTTAACCCAGTCTCATAGGTTGCTCTCCGTGTCGCTCCTCGTCGTGGCCCTGAAGGAACCGAGCCACGCAGCGTGGGTCACGTCCACCGACGGGAGGCGTCCACCGGAGGCGTCCGGGGAGGACGTGTGCCGTGTGCCGTGCCAGGGGATGGTAGGTGCTTTCACCCTGCCTGTTCGGCCCGTTCAGTCCAAAGCCATGGAGTCTTTCCACCTGCAGCTGCCAAGCATACTGCTGTACATGGCTCATCGGCTTGTCACATACATTGTCGGAGCCTCTGGGTGGTAAGGAGCACCTCCGATTGGATCAGCTCCCCACTGTTTGCTTCCGTCCCATCCATTTTTTGCAAATGGAACATGTCGCGATTCGACCACCAGAATCGTTCAATGCGAGACCACCAAAATGCGGGCTTGGGCCAATTGATCTATCGACGATCTGCAGAGTCTGAACATGGGAAGGTCAACGTTTTTTGGTGTAACTGCGGAAAGACTCCAAGTAAGAAAACACACAGAATTGATCGACAATTAGGTCAAGGGGCCACCAGTCCCATTAACAAACTCACTGCTCAACCATCGGTTCCATCATGACCTGGTCTCGGTGTTGACGGTCAGTCTTGATTCTCGGACCTGTCATTGCAAGCGCCACGCCCTCCTGGCGCCGCGCTGGGACATTCCGGGCTCCTCACACAAACCTGCAAGCAGGCATGACACATCAGCCATTTGGTCGGAAAATTGCCTCCAACCTACTACTAGCAATGGCCTCCAACCTAGCAGCAATGGCCTGCAACCTAGTAGGAATGGCCTCCAACCTACAGTATAGCATCGAAAAATTAGAACGCTTCAACACCCACCAGTCAATTGAACCTCTTTGCCAACGCAGTTGATCCAAGACCCTCCACGCCTGGCTCTTTGGCCATCCTTAGTTGAACAGAGAGGGACCTTCCATCCACCGACTGCGATCCTTCTCCACCCAGCACGTCGCAAAACCCACGCCACGACGCGCTCGTGGCACCGGAGCACTCCGGTGCCACGAGCGCGTGGCGAACAGAAACAGGGACGCCTCTTTCCTGCGGCGGAAACGGAGGGTTTCCAAACCCTTCGGCCCAGGCACTGGAGCGCGGACACTTGGACCAGGCGTCGGCCAACATCGTGAATCTTGGGAACCTAAAAGCGATGGCCCAGCGATGGCCTTCCTAACGAGGCGGGTGGTCGTGGAAACACCACAGCTTGCATGTAGCAATGGTCTGAATGGATGAGTGTGGCCCCGAAAGCAGCAAACACTCATGTTCCTTGTCGTGCTCATGGACGTTTTTTGCGCTTCATCGTCTAGGTCACTCTGAGTCTGGTGAACTGCTTGAGCCTGGGCGGCTGGAACCACGCCATGGTCGGTTGCAAGCAAGAACTCGACAGCACAGCACAAATGAGCATCCCATGGAACTCCAGACCATCGAACTAGTAATTCGGTTGGAGGCCATGGCTATTGGAACTCCAGAACATCGAACCACCTCCCACCACTTCTGCGCACCAACACTGCAGCAGTTTGAGCGATGCAGTTCAAAAACTCGATCCTCCCAGTGCCTGAGCCAGCATGCAAGGCCGGCCAGTTCCCATCCGGACATGACACAAAACATCAAAGCGTCCCGGCGGCGGTGAAGCGCCATCAAGAGGTAGGGGAAGAAGGGCAGGTAGGTCCTAGGACCCACAGTGCACAGCTATCCAAGTGCCAATCATGACGTCCCACCACGGAGGTGAAAAGGACCAAGGCTGAGTCTTCTAAACGAAAAGGTGTTGAATAGCGGGACGTTTCCATGTCTGGTAGTGGCATGGCCCACTTTAGGCTGTGCAGTAGAAGCTGTTGAATATATTCCTTCCAAGATAAACAACCACCGCTAGTAGGTTGGAGGCCATCGCTAGTAGTAGGTAGGCCAGCGATAATAGTCGTAGGTTGGAGGCCATCGCCATCGCTAGTAGTAGGTTGGAGGCCATCGCTATCGCTAGTAGGTTGGAGGCCATCGCCAGTATTTTGAAGGCCATCGCTATTGGAAGCAAAGAAAAGAAAACAGGAAGGAAACGTCTACTTTTAGTCGTTTGCTCTCGCTCCCCGGACCAAGGCCAGCACACCGATGGCACGCCACCTCTCGTCGGGCCTTTCGAGGACGCACCGTTGGGTCGGCTCGTCAGTTTTCCTGATACCTCAGAGCCTCTGCTCGCTTTGGGTCGGCTCTTTCAGACTCCAACCCAGCCGGCCCCACTGGCACTTTTGTAGGATGATGATGGATGATGAGGGTTCTTCTGAGGCGAACGCGCGCTGACAGTTTCATCATCGCCTGGCACTGGTGGTACTAACCGTCGACAAGAGCGCAAGTGCAGCTCAAGCCAATCAGCTTCACACAATGCCTCGTGCAAGTCTTTGAGGATGCTCATGTGGTGTTGCCTTGGGGGCCGCCAGCGCTTTCCCAGCATTGTTCAGAAAATGAATCCAGCATGATCAAGCTACAATACTGCATGTGGACGCTGCGGGGGTCTTCATTGTGCGTTGCATAGGGGTCCCCGTGTCGGGCGCTGCTTGGGGCCAAACTCTGAGGATTTCGTTCCCTCCCCAAGCTGGAGCTTTCCACCGCACGCGTTGGACCTCTTTTGGTTGCAAAAATATTTTGACAATTTGGCAACTTCTTGCAAACCAAGTCTGGGTCCCATACTCAATGACCTCAAGAATAGATCCAGCTTCCTGCAGGTATGGCAGTCTGGCTCGAACTGCTTCAGTAGCCCATGAGAGCTAACTTGGTCCAACATTGAACATGTCAAATTCCCTTTTGAAGCCTGAAATGCCTTTCACTCACATTCCCTATGCACATCTCCTTCCGTCCTCGAAAATATCAGGGCCTGACACATGTTTCCAGGCTTTTCGCGGTGCCACTTCAATCAGGTTCATGCAATTCTCCCACTGTGCATATTTCAGCTATAGGTTGGAGGCCATCGCTCTTAAAATGCTTTCATCCCCAGCTCGTAGCTTGGGCGCGGGCCGCCACAGCGAGGCAAGCCAGTGGCCTGGACCACACTTCCACAAGCAACCATGTTTTGAAGTATTACAGGTTTGTCTCCAGTGCATCTGAACCGGACAAATTCAAGCCAATAACATGTGTACCTATAGGTGTATACAACTTTTTTATGACTACCATCATCTACCATCTATGCTTCGAATGCTGCAGACTGACGAGCGTGCCACTTGCACCAACTTCCCCGACTCCGCCTAGCGAGCCGGAAATGATCTGCCAGAAGTGATTTGAAGAGGCTCGAGCACTCTAGACTCTTAGACCCTAGAAATTAACCCATGGCCTTCAAGCTTGCACCTTTGGAAGAACGATCTCAGCGAGGTTAACCAAGGAAACTCACACAGCCAATCATTTCAGTTGGAATGTGTTTTGTAGTAGCCCCACTCTTAATTGAGCCTGGTCGGCGAAGTCAAAGGTTGTGTCCTTAAGGCATATGCCGGCATGTCAGTGCAGCAACCCCTTGATCTATCAAACAGAACAAAATACCTAGATCACAATAGATCCCACATCCCTTCCACCTTTCCACGTTCATTCTTTCACACTGAGCTTGTGACAAATGACTGGGAGGGATGCCACATCCGCTCGCCATCTTGGAGCGACCGGTGCAAACAAGTAAGCATGAAGACAGTTCCATTGAGACTCTCGCAGTTCACTAAAGAAAACATAAGAAAATGACTTTGAGGAACCTATATAATAGCAATGGCCTCCACCCTACTAGCGATGGCCTCCAACCTTACTAGGGGTGGCTTCCAACCTAATTAATAGAGATGGCTTCCAACCTAATAGAGATTGCCTCCAACCTAGAAGCGATGGCCTCCAACCTAAGGGCGATGGCCTCCAACCTACTCGCGATGGCCTCCAAAATACTAGCGATGGCTTCCACCCTACTAGAAGAGGACAGAAAAAGGACGGGCCTACGTAGAGATCTAAAGCACAAAAAAAATAGATTATCTTCCATATCTCTCACTACTTTATAAAAACAGCCCAAGACCGGCAATTCTGAGATCTTGGCCGAAACTTGCTTGCCTGAGGGCGCTCAAGAAATAACATGGCATCATGCCTGCTTCAGTTCCAAGGTGGAAATCGCAAATGGCAGTTACGTCACAGACTTCATACATACCCCCATATGATTGTTCGCTCATGCCTCACAAAGCGAGTGCCCCCGCGGAGGCGCTCCCCGCTGCAAAGCAGCCTTGCTGGACACCAGGAAAGTCAGAATTTTTCCAAATCAACTCATTGCCGTGTCTATGTGTACATCTGCTTTATATTAACCCAGCTTGGCAACCCAACAGCAGGTAGCAACTCAATTGATTGAAACTTTTGAAACACTCCAACTATGCAATGCTAAAGCCCCGACAAAGCCCCAATTGATTTGTGAAGTGTAAAGGGATCCGGGCTACAGGAAATGTGAATGTCTTGTTGCTGAAATATATAATCAAGATCAATCCCAGTTTGTCTCAATCGGGTGGTGTCTCCAAGGCCTTGGTGCGGCATTCAGTGCTTCCGCACCGGACAGGGGCACCGCCTTCTGCGCCTGTCCAGCAGAACACTTCTGCTACAGACTACATTGACCGCATATGAACCGGTTTTGGGGGGACGCAAAGTTCGGATAGTTCAGGAGACCTGCGGCAAAGAAGAAAAGACACCAAGGGCCACATGAACCCACACAGTCCCTTCGACCGCAGGCCGAATGGATCGTGTCTCATGCTGTCCAACCTCGTTAGGGCAGCAACGTTGAAAGGTGTAGTGGCCATCCTTGGGCAGCTCTGGACATCAAGAGTCGCTCTAGCAAAATGCCGATTTGTGGAAATGCGTGTGGGTAACTTGAACGGATGTCTTTTGGGGGGGTCAGCGCAGCTCTTACGTTGGAGGCCATCCCTAGCAGGTTGGAGGCCATCGCTATGGTAGGTTGGAAGCCATCGCTAGTAGGTTGGAGGCCATCGCTAGAAAACAGCTAGTAGGCCATTAGAAACAAACACGTTTTTACTTTATGTCCTATTTTGCGTGTAACATGTAGGCCCGGCATCAAATTTAACCTCAGCTTGATTGGCTTTTGGTGCTTTCGAGGACCGCTTGAGGGTTCGACCCAGCAGGTCGGATTTCCTCCAGGCCTTAGGAGCCAGATGGAGCCGACAGCTGCCACGGGGAACAGCCGTAAGCGCAAAGAAAGCAACAGAGGGATCTCCGAGTTGCACCCATCTCCGTTGACACTGAAAAGCCGAATCTCATGCAAATCTCTGATGTCGTGAGTGTCGTGCCATTTTTTCCATCGAAATGACACTCACAGGCTCTAACCCATGCAGCACGCTGTTGCAGCAATCCTCTGCCATGCTGCCCCATCCGGAGTCTGGGAGCGAGAAGGTATCCAAAGCACCGATAAGAGCTCCGGTAAGTGAGACGGCACACTCTGCAAGGCAAAAAAACAATGTCAGAATATACTTCCCGATGCATGTTCTTGAGCAAAAATTCAAGTTCCAGGACATCCCAACGTTCCAGCGTCCCGGACCCTTTGGGAAGCACTCGCCCCATCCAAGGCTTTCCACTTCCTGGGGGTCCTGCACAGGGCTCTGAAACCGCAGGCCAAAAAAACTGAACACAGTTAGCTGTGAGCTGCTGTTCCAACACTCCAAAGAGCCAGCACCATCGAGTCTCGCGGTTCCAACACAGCCTGTCCTCGCCCAGACCTCGGTTCCAAAAGGGTCGGACCAGTTCGGCGATCGGATCACAGCACTCCGTCATCGGTTTTGGGACAGGTTCCACATGTCCACCTAAAATGTGTGCCACAGTAGCTGGATATGTTGTACAATTGTTATCAATTGCTCATAACTGGCTGACTTGTGCCAACTTGTGCCAACATCAGACCAAGCCCGCTGTGCCCTGGATTGGCCGCTCGAAATCGCGTTGCTCACGGATGCGGACGCACACAGCGTACACAGCTCGTCTCACTCAGTGAGATGCAAGAGCTAACACTGTTGGGAGGACTTGGGATGCAGAGTCGTGCTGAAGCCAGGTTGGAGTTCATTGCTAGTGGTTTGGAGGCCATTGCTCTTAGGTTGGAGGGCATTGCTTCTAGGTTGGAGGCCACTGCTAGTAGGTTGGAAGCCATCGCTAGTACAACTCCATACCAAGTCACCCCCGCCCCTTGCAGCATGCACTTCTTCAAGAAGGGCGTTTCCACAAAGGCCATCACAGCGATGGGACTCAAAAACTGATGGGCCCTCGAATCTTGAAAATCTTGAAAAGGGACAACGGCAAGAAACAAACATTCGAATGAATAAACTTAGGTGATGCACTGGGCATTCACCCCATGTATTCTTTCTCTTCTCTTCCTCATGTTGCCCTACTCTTGCAAGTAACCGCGCCGCCGGTTCATCAAATGTTGGAATGCCAGCTTGTAGGCTTCGATCCCATCATTCCTTCGATTTCGCAGCTGTCACTTGCTGGAGTGACCCACAAGGAACCCGCGAGGACCCCTGCTTCTCCCAGCCCCTGCACCGCTGCACCATCCAACCATATCCGGCCTCCACCCTACTAGCAATTGGGGCCTCCCACCTGCTAGCAATAACCCCACCGATGCCTCCAAACTAAGAAGGCCGAAGCAGAGCAGTTCCAATTCAACGGTGCAACATGGTGCAACGGTTGTTTGTGCAGCCCTGGCGCTTGTCCGGGTGCAACGTGCGCTGCAGCTCCCGGAAGATCCGCCGCCGCGCGAGGTCGGGACCGTCGGCGCTGGAGGCCAGGACCTCCTGGAGTCGGAGCGGCCTCCAACCTAGCGTCCTTGCTAGTAGTAATGGCCTCCAACCTAGTAGGGGGGATATAATCCCTAAAAAATGGAGAAGAGAACACAAGAAAGAAACTTTGGTTCGGGTAGAGTTAGTGAGCAAAGTTGCCATTCTTTTTGCTCGACCTTCATTCCTTTGTCCACATGTCTCGATCTGCTTGTCGTCATTTTCCCATCGTTGTTCCAAAAAACACGACCTACACAAGTGCTGCCCCAAAAATTAACACAGAAAAGGCCGCATCAATGTCTTCCAACTTTCAAGCCCTGCAACCCTCTCCTCCACCTGCTCCACCAGCATCTTCACTTGCCTCAGCATCCCTCCCATCCCTCCCATCCTCACCACCTCTTCACATCTCTTCACATCTCTTCACCACCCACCACTCAGCTCCACAGCCACCACCTCTGCTTCCCAGTGACCCCGCTGTGGAGACCGCCGGCCGCGGCCGCTGAATGTGCACCTCCTCCAAGTTCCACGCCTCCGCCGCGTGACCGGCGGCCTCGTCCTGTGCCGCGGCCACCTCCGCGCGGCGGAAGAGCCTCGGGCGATGGGAGCGATCGGACGCTACGCACGGGGCGCTCCGGGCATCGCGACTCGAACGGAGCGATCGGACGCTGATGCTGAACGTTCGAAGTTCGAGAAAAGGACGCTGCATGCTGGCCCTGCCTGGAGATCTTCATCGCCAGCCTTGCCAGAACAAATGGTACCGGTGTAGAAGTGGTCGTAGCGGTGCCCGCCTCGGACGTCGGGGCGTCGCTTCCCACCCGCCCCACGGCTTCCCCCCACAGGTTCCGCTTGGGCCCGCCTGCCGAGCCTGCCGTGTGGCGTTCCGCGTTCGACTGTCGCGTCGTTGTTGTCGCCGCTCCTCCTTCTGCCTTTGTCGTTCTTGTTGCAAACGCTCGCGCTCCTCCTGCTCTTCCTGTCGTGAAGACCGCCGGAGGCTGTGACTTGTGATGCCTGCTGCTGCTTGATGTTGCAGAAGCAGCAGGCGTGTTACAATATGTTACAACTGGCACCATCGCCTGAATGTCACACCAAAATTGCCTTGTGTACAAGTGATGACCCACCAACGAAGCGACACAATTCCCGGCCTTCTCTACCTGCAGGTCCTTCTGCCTCTGGAACTCCTGCATGACTGCACCACACATACGGTTCTACTAAGGACTTTACACTACAAAACTAGGTTCACCTTTTAAAAATGGTCTTGGAAGGCTAGGGTGCAGGCAAAGAAAATTACATGCTGAACTACGCAGCTGTAAGCTGAAAGTGCTGGCTACGGCTGGCTCACCCCCTCTCTCTCTCTCTCTCCCGACGTCGGGTCTGGTCTCCTCCAGGATCTCTTGCTGCCGTCGCTGCGAGAAGGGTGGCTCCACGCCGCCCGGCCGGAGCGGCACTTCGGAGCGTTCGTACTCCGGCGCATTCTGCTGATACCTGGGCACCGAGAGACAAGGTGCTTGGCCGGGCTTGGATGGTGGTTGAGACAAAACTAGACCAAGCGAGAGCAACATATGTGCCCCTGACATCGTCTGCCACCAGCTAGTGACGCTACTGCCTGACCTGTCGCCCGCCCCCCAGCCTCTCCAACTTGGCCTCCATGTCTCTGAGCCGATCCTGCTCCCAGGCCCTCTGCAGTCGTGCGAAGCGCCGGTCCTCACGCAGCTGCCAGTGAGCGCTTCGAGGAGACTTGGACATCTGCTCGTCCTCAGCGAAGCACGGACGATCTCCGCACCTCTCGATCTCCGCACCAAATAACTTGGCCCAAGTGTTGAGCACATTGAGCCGAGGTTCGACCAACGCGTGCCACTCCTCATCTACAAGCTCCTCCTCTGTTGCATCATTTCTCGGTGGCGCGCGGATTGTGCGGCCGTGGGCCAAATCGCTTGGCTCCTGCAGTGGCTCATCACTATTCATCACGACTCGTCAACCACAAGCTGATCTTTCTTACTGGATCTGGAAAAAATGAATCTCCACACTCGCACGCAGCTCGCCTTCTCAGGGAGGATGCGAGGCGGATGGCCCACCGACCTGTCAGACAGAGAGTCTTCAGAGAGAAGCGTCAAACACTCGGCATCGACCTACTAGTAGCTTGGCTTCTTGTTCCTAGTAGTAAGGCCAGGAGCTACTAGTAGCGTTCTTGCTACTAGTAGTAAGGCCCTTGTTACTAGTAGCTTCTTGATCCTAGTAATTCAACCATCTTTTGACCGTGAGCCACGTTGGAGGTCTACACGTTTCCCCCTTGTTGCGGAGCGCAATTCCTCCACCGCTGCGTGACGGTCAAATGCAGGCCAGTCACGGCAGCATGTGTGGCAGCTCCGCCGCAGGAAAGTGGCCTGGCAAAATGGAATCCACTTGTTGGGCCGCTTTCCAACAGGAAGAGTCTTTGACGGCACAGTTGAATGACCAGTGTCGGCGTCTCGGCTTGGACTGAGGCGATCACAGTATCTCCAGTCGCTCATGCAAGGTGAGGATCGCCGCGACCTGCACACAGCGAATCGAATGTGGACCCGGTGCAAACAACTGTATATAATATAAAGCAGGGTGGCCTAGTCTTTGTCTTCGGGAGTGGAACCGATGGCCTAAGTGCAAGCCTAGAAGCCTTTTGGGCCCATGGCACACCAAAGCCTCGAATCTATCTAGCTACAACCTGGCACATCGCACAAGTATGGTCAAGTCCAACCGTACCCTCATTTTCAGCGAGCTGAACGCTTGAGTCGCAAGCTTCCTACCAGTCGATTATTGTACTCCCACCCAAACCCACTGGAGCTGATGCTGCCAGAAACTGCCCCAAAGCGCTCTGAGCCAGTTGCCACAGCAAATACCACAATGCCACGTCTCAGCAACGCCCTGCCGCTGACAATACGGCTTCCGCGGAAATCCTCCACAGCTGCTCTCGCTCGCCAAAGAAACGACGACGCCTCCGCAGCCACTTCGGGCTCCTCGATCTCAGTTTGGATGACTGTTGTGTTCGCATAGCTTGAGACCCTTTCGGTACTGAGCCCTTGCTGAGCGAGCACCATGAGGGCCTGTGCTAGATCTGCTTCAGTGGAAACGACCTTACGCCAATCGCTCAGTTGATCATCGCCCAATGACTTGAGGCCTGCGTTGGCTAGAAGGTTGGATAGGGAAATGCGCGCAACTTGAAGCGTTGCACTGTTGAAACCCGCATTGTTCTCAACAGCCCATATCAATCGCCCAGGGGCATCGTCAAATTGAGCTCTCCAAGCAGTTGGAATGTTGATGCTGAAATCTCCGCTGGGTCCATCCATGCGAACAAACTCGGGATATCTTATCTGAGATTGCATCACTCGTGGTGCTCCAGGAACTTTGCTGGAACCTTCCAAACTTTCGGCGATGGATGCCCCTGGCACCAACATCGATGCGACCACCCATCTACGACCTAGCCGACCGAGCCCAAGCCAAGCACGGCTTCCGCTGGTGACCAAAGCTAACAACAGCAGCCCTGAGCGAATCTTTCGACTCATGCCTTTTTCGGGGTCGTCTTCCCCGCGGAACTCTCTTGAGGGGACCAAACAGCTGCAACAGCCACCGTCGCAGCACATGTCCTAACACTGAAAGGCAAGAAATGACAATGAAGTTCACTGAATTAATGACATACACTGAAATGAGGATCCTTGCTTGGATTGTATTGAGGTGTTGCCTGGACTTCGCTTCATCCAAACGAACTCTGATTGGGAAACCGGTGCGGGGCCTTGTGGCCAGCTTATTCCATCCATGCCAAGCATGCTCAGCAGGCTTCTGCGGTGATGCTCTTTCTTCATAGTAGGTTGGTGGCTATCGCTATTAGGGTGGAGGCCATTGCTATCGGGATGGGGAGGCCATCGTTACTAGTATGACTCGTGTGACTCGTGATATGCTGAGCTACGTGCGCAGGGCTCACCATGTTGCATGGATCTAATCCGATGCTTTAGATGGAGGCTTTCAGGACTTTCGACAAACAAATGGCCCTTGCGGAGCGAGCTGGAAGCCCCAACCAGCTTTTACCTGCCCTCTTCACCCGCTTCGTCCACAAAGTTGGCCTAGCCTTCCTACGAACAAGAATCCTAGACAATTGGAACAATGCCTGCGGGCCTGCGGATTGCCATTTGACAAACACCTGAGTTTTCACTTGCACTGTGGTCTGGCGGCTGGCGGAAGTTGCTGAGGCCTCCCTGCACGGTGGCACAAGCAGCCACTGTGCACCACGGCCTGCCTGACAGACTGTGTGACATGGCGTATGACTGTGTGGACGCATGTGGGACATGAAAGTCGGTGAGACCGAAGACGAAGGAACAAACATGGATTCAGATTCAATTCTTGTCTTCCTTTTTCCCACCGCACGTAGAGCGACTGTTCGTCAGAAACTGCTACTTCATGGCCAAGCAAAAATTTTGGCCAGTGGCGTTTGGGATTTGATTCTGATCTTACGGACCTACCTTTAGGTACTGCGCAGTCCTGGCATCTTCTACATGGGCTGGAAATCCCAATGACACATCCTGCTATGAATGCCAGACATGTCATTCCATAAAACCAGCAAAAGCGCAACCACTACACTCGGAGTCACTAACATGGAAGTGCAATGATTATTTCAGGGGATGTATAAGTCCTTGAATTTCTTCTAATAGAACACTTCGTCTTGATTGAACATCTACATACCTCCAAACATCCTCCAAACCTAAGAGCGGTGGCCTCGGCCTCCAACCTAGCATTCTGAGCCACTCTGCCACCCTTTCACCTTCAAATCTCCCACTCCGTGAGCCACTCTGCCATTGCGCATCAGTGGTCGGCACGCTTCTGCCGACCTTCCGCGCAGCTCGGTCCGCGGAGCCCGCGGAGGCGTTCGCCGGTCGCCGTTCAACTGGACTGGACTTGGTGCGATGCCTTCATGTCGTTTGGCACGGACGTGGTACATGTGCACATGTGTCGCTTCATGGCTCCCCAGGATGAACCCGACTTCCTCTAAGCAGGCGCTGGATCCTTTCCTCGGATCCCTCTCTGAGGGGGGGTTCAAAGGCGGCACAGCGGCTTTTGGCAAGTGGGAATGTAGGGTGGAGACCATCACTTCTAGGTTGGAGGCCATCGCTTGTACGGTGGAGACCATCGCCATCGCTAGTAGGGTTCGGAAACCGCAACAGTTGCCGCCTTTGGACCGCATGAATTCTAGCGGCTCTCAGGATGCGACAGGTAGCACCAGCTTACTACCATACCACTTGCCTCGGCCCCAGGGAAACGTCTTCTTCGATGTTTTCTTTCTGATGCAAGAGCTCCCATGAGTTTGAATCCTACATCCCAAGTCTACTAGTAACAAAGGGCATCGCTACCAGTAGCTCCTGGCCTTACTACTAGGAACAAGAAGCTACTAGTAACAAAGGGCATCGCTACTAGTATTTTGTTGCTGGATACCAAGTGCAAGTGAAGCGGACGAAGTCTCAATGTCACGCATGGCCACCACGCATTGCTAACAACATGCCCGGCACAGTAGTCAGTAGAACCGCAAAGCAAAGAACCACATGAAGAATTGAATAGCTTAGCCAACGTAAATAACAACGTATATAAATTATCACAACTGCCCAGGTGCTCTTGGCATAGTAATAGAAGAAGTCGCAGTAGAGGCCAGTTTGCAAGAGCCCACCGATCCAGCCAACAACATTCACGTAGTCCTCCAGCGATGTCTTGTGATTCTACTAGTAGTAACAATGTTCGCTACTAGTAACAAGTGCCACGCCAGTAGTAACAGGTGCCTTACTGGTAGTAACAAAAAGCTATTAGAATTTATTCAGAATGATCCTGAACAGACCTGCTGAACAGACCTGCTTCCATTCCTTCGCGAAGTGATGTTCATGAGTCCCTCAAACTCTTTCCAACAAATGGACCTGCATGATCTTACATACATAATATGCGTTATGTGCTTCTGTTCTGCAAAAAAATTGGTTCTTGCGGAAGTGTTCGCTTCACGTCCTCTGCAAAGTACCGATAAATCCAGTTCAATATGTAGAAAGCACCTTGTAGCTTGTGGCATGAGCAATTTCAAACTCCGGAAATGCATGCATTCTGCTCTGCCAATGGGCCAAGAGTCTCGGAACAAAAGAACACCGAAAAACCCTGAATGTCAAGCCAGGAGGCGGTATGCACCCATGCAGCCTACGAAGTCAGAGGTGAGATTCCTGAAAAAGTGCCATGCAGGGCAACAAATGCAATGGAAACACGAGCACGTTCATTTCCACGGCCAACGGAACATGTCAGGAGCCTGGCCCATGGACACCCCCTGTTTGTGACGCGCCATCCTTCTGCATGCGAGTTGGAAGGAGGGAGAAGGAGCATTGCATTGAATGCCCGAATGACTGTCACGAGGCGCCTGCACAAGTCAATGTCGCCCTTGGTGGGCGAGCTAGCTAACACAGTATAGTATAGTCATGTCATGTCATATCATACATGTCATAAACCTGAAGTGGCTTCTCCCAAGTCAGATTCTTCTGGCAACAGCCAGCTGACCTGTACAAAGAAAGGGACGGACAAGGCAATCCATGCCCAACAAGCCGGAACATCAAAAACCGCATGCATCCGCATGCCAAGCCTCAGACAAACTTCTGGCAAATTAGGCTCAGGCCCCTTCATCTGGCAAAATAGCCGAGTAGGTTCCAACGACCACCAGGAAAATTCCAAAAGCCAACATTGCCAGCGAGAAGAAGATCTCCGGGCGCAGCCACGAGAAGTTCCTTTCGCGGCGTCGCACAGCAAGGATCCACAAGGGCGGCACCACAAACGAGATGTAGCCAGCTGCAAAGGCTCCAATGAGGTTCAAGATCACCTGCAAACGGCTGACCTTCACTGCGATGACCATCACACAAGCCACGGTGCCCATGGCTGCCACGATGTCATACCATCGCTCCGGTGTCCGGCCACACACGTGCCCAGCTCCTCCGTCTCCAGCGCCGCCCGTCCGAGGCAGAAGGTCTGGCGTGGCTCGCGCCGCTCGCGCCTTGCGCACCGCAAAGGCGCAGAACTGTCGAACAGCGAAGATATGAAACTGAAAGCTGACCACGCTGCCAAACATCAGTCCCACCAGAGCAAAAACGACATGGACCCTTTGTCTGACTGGCATCAGGTCGAGGATTAAGGTATCCTTCTGATTGATGCCAAAGGCCAAGAGACCGAGAATTGAGACGGAGCCATAGATCAAAAAGCTGAGCCAGGTGCTAAGCAAGGCGACCCATGTCATCCGTTGAGTGGAGGGCGTCGGAGTCATTTCTCCCGTCAGTTGTGGAACACTAAACTGATTGCAGAAGGCATACACCATACTGCTGATGCAGTTTATATATGTAAAGACTGTGGCCTCTCCGGAACCAAAGCTGAAGGTTTGCACATCGATTTGTTGGTTCATGCCGTTGGCCATGAGGTACCAGGCTGTCACCGCCACCAAAAAGAGTAAGGACACCAAACTGAAAGCTGCCAGGTGCCTTAAAAAACCGATGTGCTCTGCCAAAGCCAGCGGAGCACAAATGCAAACCCCTATAGATACCACAAAGATCTCCCGTGTCCTCTCATCCGCTTGGAAAATCGCCTGAAAAACCTGGCCACAAGTGATGAGACAGGCAGCCGCTGCACCAAGGCAATTGGACGAGTTCATGAACCCGGTCAAGAACGACATGGCTGGATGAAAGAGCTCTTCCGAGATCTCTTCAAAGCTCCAACACTGGGTGGCCACCGAGGCGACGGCAATCATCCGCAAGCTTGCCACCGATAGCAGCCCTCCTAGCAGGAGACACGAGAGCTGGTAGATGGCCCCTACCTCTGCTGCGTTGGACGAGACCGACAGGAGCCCGGCGCCTAAGGCCGCTTGGGTCAAGCAAAGGGAAGTTGGAATGACGCCGCCACGACGAAAAGGGTGCACATTGGACGGGCCGGATTCTTGTGTCTCCTTTGCATCTGCTTGGGCATCGCTCGTGTCATGTAGGTTGCCTGCCTCAGCCGTGTGAGGACCAATCACGCCAAACGTATGTGCGCGAGCCATTGCCAGTGGAAAAGATTGAGCAAGGGCTGGCGTGCGGCTTCTTGAGCCAAGGTATGATGGTTCAACAGCCCCAATGAACTGAAGTGCTTTAATATGGAACGCATCCGCCATATCCAAGCACTTGCAGCCTACAAAATCAAGCGACGCAAAGTCTTGCGAATGAATGACATCAAAAACTCAAAGAACCGCAAAGTCTTCCGTTCGGAGCATTTCGGGCATCGCGACTCGAACGGAGCATGGACGCTACTAGGGGCTCCCTGGCCTTACTACTAGGAACAAGAACGCTAGTAGGAACAAGTGCCTTACTAGTAGTAACAAGAAGAATTTAATTAGAATTGTAATTACTAGCTTCTTGTTACTACCAGTAAGGCACCTGTTACTACTAGCGATGCACTTGTTACTGCATGGACGCTGCACCAAGCTTCTCCACTTCTCGGATCTGTTGGAGCAAGACGAGCTGCGGAATGATGGCCACACCTGTGAACAAGCGCGGCGCCGCGGAATGAAATGCATGAAATGAACGGGAATCCAAAAACACAATGCTGGGGGGCTGCACGAGTTCATAAACCCTCCTGTTGCCATGCCGTTTGTCCTAGATTTGGCACGCGTGCGCCAGAAAGCAAATGACCAGTGCAGTCAAGCAGCTTTCGAGCCAAATTGAGGAGGACCACAGGATGTCCGGGATGGTGTATTCCTTCCGAGTCAGCAAAGAAGAAATCATCGAATCACCTCACTTTAAATCCCGCCTCTGTGCAAATGAGCCCGAGAACTAATGCTGGGCCAAGCAAATAGAGCTCATACTGGAAGGAATCCTCATTCGAGGCAGTTCAGGGTGCCCTATGGAAAAATGATGAAAGCCTAGCATCAACTCCTTCGAATTGTGCCCAAGTGCTACAAGGAACCTGATGATTAACCCCAGCCAAATTTCCAAGCATTGAGACGTTCAAGTTCCAAGCGGCTGTGCTTCTCTCGTAGGTCTGGCAGATTGGCGTCTTCAAACGCATCAAGTAAATCAAATAGCCTCGGCATGTCGAAAGGCACCCATGCAACCCCCCATGGACCGGATCCAGCTGAGTGGCACGTTGTCGTGATATAGGTGATCTTCATGACCGTGTTGTAGACCTCAGCGGTCTCGAAAAGTCCACTCGTCGCTACTCGGGGTCTCGTTGCTATGCGTTCTTCGTTGCTGGGAAACGAAGCTTCCAAACCCCAACCATTGCCAAGCGGCAGAAATGAAGCTCCACAGCAGGTCAAGGTAGCGACAAATGAAGACCACGGCATAGATCTCCTGGCCACACGAGACAAAGACACGAGAGAAACACCAGCGGCATAGATCTCCCCAGTCCTGCATCCTGCAAGAGACGCCGACACAGCTCTTGCTGCGATGGAGCTTGAAGACCAGCAGCCTCCAAAAGCCACTGTCCACGACTGTTGCCATTCCAATCGGTATCTATCTATCTACAAGTACCATCAAGTACCGTTTACATGGCTTAACCGGCTTAGCCCATGCTCTGCCAAGAGGCATGATGCTGGTGAGGTGAAGCATATCACCAGAAAATCGAAAGATATTCATGGCCTCAGCTTCACAGCTCCACGGCCAAATCTCGACCAAGATCGGCACCAAGGAAAGAGGAACGGAAAGAGATAGTAAGATAGTAAGACACGACCAAACAGTGGAATCTGTGGTCATGCGAAGGCCGTCTCTGCCAAAAGCTGGAGCTCTCCAGTCTGCCGGACATCATTTCCAAGTCGAAGTCTTACGAGTCGCTTCTTGTTACTACTCGTAAGGCACTTGTTACTACTAGCGATGCACTTGTTTCTACTGCGGGCAGTCTGTCTCTCTCGCAGCTTAGGGACTGCGACCTTTCAGTGTTCAAGCTGCTCGAGATCTTTCACCACTGCGCCTGGGCTGAAGCTTTTCGAGGCCGAGTTTTTCGCCGTCATTACAAAGGAGAAGGGCCAAAGAGAAAAGCAAACGGAAGAGCCGAAAGGAGTGCCAAACTCTCATGTTCAATTGCTGCACCCTAACGGCCCAAGCGACCAAATCCCAGCCTGGCGGAAAGCCCCTCGCGGGCAATCACGGGGCGACCCAACTTCTGGGAGCCAAAGGCCACGGTGACATCCAGTGATTGCAAGACTTCTGTGAGACGAGACAGGAAGCCATGAAAAGGGCCTGCGTCGCAAATCGCAGCGAGGCAAAGTGTGGGGCGCAACAGCTTTGGAAAGCTGAAAACACGACGGTCTTAAAAAGCCCCCATCAACGGTCTTATACATCTTTCCAAAAAGCCCCCGTCACTTGCTGTCCATGCACGAATGTGGCTCTCTCAAACATTCCACGAACACAAAACAACTCGGCGCGCCTTCTCCGCCGCAACAAGGTGGGCACCCTCGAACAACGCATCCAATGTGTGTGGTCTCTCTGAAACTTTACGCTGCAAACACCGGTCAGCTGGCCGCCACTGGCCGCCCCCTTTTACAACTCTCCGCGCCCAGGGCGCCCAGGCCGTCCCATCTTAGGACGGCCCCTTGGACGGCCGCTTGGGCTTGGAGCTCCTTCTGCGCCCCGGTGGCGACGCCGGCGAGGCCGGCAAGGCGGGCGGCACCGGGCCATCCAGCTTGGGGCGACGGGGTCGTGGACGATCGGCGAAGGCCAAATCAAGGAGCTCCTATAGGCATGGGCCAAAGAACTTGAAAACGCCCTCCATGTTCAACTGTTTGTAGTTGTTTGTTCTTTTTTGAGGCCCAAACAACAACATCCAGAAATAGAAATAAAATGAAATAAAAGAGAAATCTCACGCTTTCACCAGGATTCTTGTGCACTGGAAGCCTTCAAAGGAGCGAGTGATTGCTGGACTTCGGCCAGTGCACCTGGTTTCCGCAGCTGCTCTGGCAGCAGCTGCGAGAGCCTCTTGGGCACATCCAAGCCACTTCGCAGGCAAAAGCGCTGCCGCGTGGCCAAGGCCAGGAAGGCGGCTTCGCCCAGCGCATCGTAGGCCACAGCGGCTGAGGACATGAACTGCTCCTCAACCTCGGGCGACTCGGTCTCCACGTTCTCCACCAGCAGAATCTCCCCAAAGACCTCCAGCGTCTGCTTGGCGCGCGCGAAGCGCTCGGCCATCGTGGTTGAGGGAGGCCACGGCACCGCCTTGATGGCCTCCAAGAGGTCCAAGGCTACCTACGACAGCGGCAGCTCGCAGCGATTGCTGGACGTCCACCATCTACTTAGAACAGTCCACGGGTCTACATGCCAACACACACTTTTTTCCCGCATGATTTCACACGAACGGCTTCACGAAGCTAACGTTGGTGCACCGCGCGAACGTTGTAGGCCCGCTTCGAAACATGTACCTATGTGAGACCCCCTCCCTGTACCACCATGTGGTCACCATCACCAGGTCGTCACACAGCGTGACCCTCCTTACCTTCGAGGCTTCGCTGCTTCGGAAGGCCGGCGACAGCTCTTGGCTCTCCACGATGACGTCGAAGGCTTCGGGCTGCGGCCGCCGGAGCTTCTCCGCCAAGGCCTGGAGCTCGGCCGACCAGCCGCAGAGCCGCGCCAGCTCCAGGCACCCTGCGTCACAGTCGTTCCTGAGCAGTGGGCAGTGTATCGGTGTTATCGTCCGCGAGCAACATGCACAACATGGGGAGCCATCTTGTCACCCCAAGGGACGAAACGTTGGGGTGTGAGCTGCACGTGCGTTCAAAGCTTGCGAAGTGCCGACCTTCTTTTGGCGACAGGCCGCTGACCGAAGAATGGAACAAGTAGACTACCTACTCAAACACCCAAAAGGGGCGCCTTTTCTAATCTTTTCTCTATGGAGGAGGCTATATATTAGGTTCAAGGCCATCGCTTCTAGGTTGGAGGCCATCTCTATTGGGTTGGTGGCCATCGCTATAAAAAGGGAACTCAGGCCAAACCGCTAAACCACACGCCAAAGACTCGCCAGGTGCACATCCCTGTAGTTGTTCGACTCATTGAAGCGAAATCCAACGTTGCCGAAAAACATCGGCGGCTCGTCTTGAACAAGCAAACCAACAGGCTCACGGTTGATCAGCAACCGTGGACAAAGTGCATTGACCTTGCCCAAAATCCCTGCAAAAGGCATTACCTTTAACGAAGTGCCAAGGACCAGCAAAAGATCTGCTTGTTGCCCATCCCGATCACTCAGGTAAGTGAAGCGTGCTGGTAGGCTCTCCCCAAAGAAAACGATGTCAGGCTTCACCAGACCGTCGCATTCAAAGGTCTTCGGGCCAGCCTCCCAATCTGCCCATTTCTGAGGGAACTCAGCCACTTCCTTCTCTCCTGTCTCCAAGTCAGATTTCACGCGAGCTTCTCTGATTCCAACATTTGTCAGTTCCCCAAAGTTCGAGGCCTTCCAAGCCTCTTCCCTCTTGGCCGGAAAAAGCTCTAGCTCTTTTCGCAGCTCTTCGAGGGCCTCTGCTGTGGGAGGCACCTTCGGTGGCTCCACAGCCCTCGGCGCGCCGCAGCGCAGCGGATGCTCCGCGGCATCTTCGATGCTCTGGCGCCAGGCGCGGATGCTGTGCTGCTGGCGGCACTCCACGCAGTGGGCGTCGGCAAAGGAGCCATGGGCCTCGACCAAAAGCTCCGGAGAGATGCCAGCGAGGCGCTCCAAACCATCGATGTTTTGTGTGAAGAGACGTAGCAAGAGACCCTTTTCCTCCAAGAGACGGAGGAAGCAATGCCCGATGGTGGGCTGATAGGATCCCGGAATTAACTCCTTCGCAAGCTCACAAAAGGGCTGTGGACGCTCTTTGAAGTAGTTCAAAGTAAACACGGACTCCGGGGTCGGCAAGCCATACTTCTCCAAGTTGTCGTACAACCCGGTGCCCGGTGTCCGGAAGTCCGGAATTCCCGCCACCACCGAGAGCCCGGCGCCCGCGGCCACCACCACCCGCGCCGGGCGCCGCTCGCCGCCGCACACGACGCCCTCGCGCAGCAGCCGGGCCACGGCCTCCGCCGAGGGCGTCCCGCCGAGCACCGCGCGCCGCGCGGCCAGCGGCAAGTCGTCGGGCTCCGCCACGGAGGCCGCAGCGCCCATCGCGGGTCTCCAACGGATGAAAATGAGTCCAGATGCTCACATGGAAGGCATCAAACGGCTTGGGAAAAGCCTGACCTGCAAACGGCTGCATGAAGCCATAAAGCTTGGTTGGAGGAAAGGGTTGGCAGTTGGTTGTGCAATGCCTGCGCTGCTATCTTGCCTCAGGCCCTCCAACCCTAAGGCCAACACAGAGGCATTTTGCACTGCTAGCACCTGCCGCCAGTGTGATCATGCACGCATCAATACAATACACCATAGTCAAACGTTTTTCCAAGAGAAAACTTCAAAACTGTTTCAATATGTTTCAATGAGAACCGTGGTGCCTCACCATTGCTGGCCACCAAAGCTATGCTGCTTCCGCGACCTAGGTGCAACACAGCTATTGGCGCAAATACATCGCAAAGGGAGCACCCAGCACAGCAAAGACGAAACTAAGGCGCCAACAAACTTGATGGATCTGCCATGTCTCTATGAAGCCGTGGCCTAACATCCAACCACCGATGCTGGGCCCATGCTCCCCAACCAAATCATCCAACCGTCTTCAAAACCAATTGGAAGAAAAGAATCGCTGTGATCAAACTTTTGTTTCAAGAGAGTTTGCCCTATGCCAAACACAACTTGCCGTGCTTAAAACGAAGCAGTAGAGCGGCCTAGTGGTCTCTGTGTCTTCAGATTCTTGACACGAAAGCCACCGTCCTCATGGCAGCTGCGACATTCCCAGCAATGGCCTCCAACCTACTAAGCGATGGCCTACAAACTGCTAGCGATGGCCTCCACACTACTTTTTTGCCGCTTTTTCGTGCGCCTGGGGCTCTATACTCCACAAGGCATCATCGTCACGAAGTCCTAAACCTGGCGTGGACAAGCCGCTGCCTCGAGCTGCAGTTCTGATGGGCCAGAAATGGCCCTTCCGGCCTTCATCTCGGAGGAAAGTCCCAAAATCTCGGTTCACCAGGAAGTACCTGGCAGATGGAAGTGTCAATCATGAGGCAAGGCACCGCCAAGTGCGCCAAGACTATATAGATCACTGATGGATCTCAAACACGGACTCACGACAAACGCTCATGAGGCAGATAGTCAAGCATGCTCCCAGACATCTCCCACAAGGAGGACAACTGAAACTGAATGTTTCCTTCCAGCACTGGTCGATCGTTGCCTTCCCGGCTTTACCGTGACCTTAGCCAGGGCCTGCCGTACGTGGCGAAGTGATGATCCTGAGCCTTAAAGCCTTGTGTTCAACTGCTTGCACAGACCGTTTGAAAGTTAACCTGAGTTACTTTCCATGCAGAAGGATATCGTGGTAGACGGCACAATTCAGGAAGTTTGTGGACACAAAATGGTGCAATGCAGTTCTCCCGCAATAAAGCTCGGATTGCGACGTGACACAAAGATATACAATGCAAACATAAATCAAGGATTTGCCATGCCTCCAAATGTGTATCTAGTATCTTAGTCTCTTGGATTAGCCTGTCTCGGTTGGACGACGACTTCAGCCTCTCGACCTCCAAGAAGAACCACCAGGCCACCTGTCAAGAGGTCAGTCTTGCTCTCGCCGTGGTCACGGTGCGGATGGCTCGCATTGTGTGTTCACAACCCCTGGAGAATTCCTGAGATGAACTACAGCACCTTTGCACAATGTACTATAGCTGTATGGCTACTCTTTGTGAGAAAGAAAGAGAAGGAGCTAGAGATGACGTCACAAAAGCAGTTCGACGCCATCCACTGGAGTTCTTAGCCAAATTTCCTAGCGCACCAAAGAGGCGCCTAGGCTCCACCGCATGCCCCCTTAGAAACTTCTGCCCGTAGACCCTCTCTGCTCCAAAGCATGCATCCAAAAAAATAAATGCATGAGGGTCATGAGGGTCGAAGTAGGTTAAGTAGATCACAAATCGAAGTGATTCCTGCAAGCCTTTCCCCAATCTGCTCCAACTGTTTCACACCGAAACGCAACATGATTTCTATGCCAAGCTTCAATTCACACATGGCGCCCAGTGCCGCGCTACACCGAACTCATGGAAAGTCACCCCAACAGTCAGACTCAAGTTGTCGGTTTTGGGGGCTGTCCAGGATGCACCTTCACGTTTGCGTTTCAAGCCAAACCCATATTTCGGCACATGCTTTTGTCGAACAAAGCACAACAAAACAACATCTGGGGCTCTTTCAGCTAGAATTACTGGCTCTGCTTGGCCGAATTGTGTGTCGCTCAAAGCCTGCTCAGCTTCAGTTCAAACGATTCAAACGGCCAAGAAATGTAAAAGGTGAGTCGTCATACGGTCGTCTGCCTCATCTGATAGTTGGATCCTAGATTGGCATTTGTTAGGGACATGCTGGGGTCCTGCAAGTGTCAGAAAATATCAATCCTGGCCATGAAACCACGCAGAGCGTTTTGCTCGGCTCTTGCTTGGTCCAACGCCGGCTTTGGCGGCTTGGGGTGTCCACAGTAGCCTGCCACATTCGACGTTTGGGTCTTTGTCTAGTGGAAATGTATTGATACTGTAGGTCTTTCGTGTGTCTTTTTTCCCTTTCTTGCTTCCTTCTTCAGAAACTTCTGATCTTGAAGAAAAATGCTGGAAAACGTCTGCATTGAAGGGCCTCCGGTGGCGAAGTAAAGCGACGCTTCCAGCGCCCAACCACATCGGGCGCCTGGAGATAGCGAAGTCGTCTGGATCCCACTGGCACAGTCTGTGCCATCTTTGGCCCTTCTACACCCCATAAAACTCATCGAATGTGTACTAAAGAAACTCCCTTGCGAATGTGTTTCTGTCCCAGGGCGTCAAGACCTACCTTTGACACCTCGCAAACAAAGTGGCAAAAGCCCACAACATGGACTGCAGCTGCTCCTCTGTTCGGGCGTCTGGAAAATGTTCATCTGGCCAGGGCTGATGTAAGACCTGCACCAAGTGCTCGGCATGCATTCCCAACTCAAAATTTATCAAACCAAAAAAAATGGTTTGCCGATTTGCTGGTGTGCTCGCGCTTGGGACCCGCAAATGCCCCAATCCACACCTTGATGGCTTGCTGGGCGGCTTCTTTGGCGATGATCAAACCCAGCCTCAAAGGTGGACAAGAGCGAGACTCTGAGGCCGAGCAAAGGTACAACTGGAGGCTTCTTCTCTCCACTTTGCTCCCTGATCCATCGGGCCCATCCGACCGTTTTCGTGGCTTTGGGGACTGTCAACATTCGACGGGAGATCTCACAGAAGACTCGAAACGGTCGAGGCGATTTCGCCGGGAGGCTCATCGACGAGGAAGCACGGCAGCAACTGATCTTTCCGAAAGAAGACCCACTCATCGACGCCGCGCTGCCCTTCTCTCCCCACGACGCTGTCATAGCCTCAAGCAAATCTATGGGAAACACCCGCGAAAGCACCCACACAATGGGCTACTCAGCTATTGGCGTCTTGCGCACACAACACAAATCGCCTGACTCTCCGAACAGAATCATACTGCCCGTGGTGCCTTCCATGGCAGCGGCACTGGCTGGCTTCCCAAAATGCTGCTTGCCAGGAAGAGCTAGGCACATAAAGGCAACCTTGGAAAAGTCGGGACCTGACGTCAAATCGACATGTGCTAGTTTGGCTGCGCAAAAGGCATATATAACTTTGAAAAAAAAACTATATTGTGATTTCGTTGAGCTTGGTCGTCATCCACGGAAGCCCAAAAGGGG